GGAAGGGTCACGACAAATAGCACAAATTTAAGGAAAATTTGTCCTTCATGTCCAAGATTTTTGAACTTTTTTCTGTGAACAATATAAGAAAAAATATCAAACATATATTTTTCATTTTTCCCCAAATATTGTTTCTCAAGATGGTATTATCAAAATTTTCGAAACAATGCTGGCATCGCTAATGTTAATCACTTTTAACTCGTGTTGTAATTATGACAAAAATGTAGTATATTACGAAGTTAAATAACAAAAGATGCTCGTTCTTCTGATGTATATTTTGAATCCATTAATTTTCTTTAAAATACATTTTTTACCTATTTTATTTCTATTTTTTAAATTTCTTTCAAAACTCAACAGTTTAAAAATTTGAAAAAAAATTGGAATCTTTGAAAATTTTACATCAGTATGTTAAGCTTCAAAATGGGACATTTGAGATGATTTTGAGAAATTAAATGCAATAAAATGGGTATCGGCTGTTTTGCTGCAGCGTCTGGTAGAGCGTCCCCCATCAAGCATATACCAGTCAGCAGTTGACGATTACCATCAATATACTTCCACAGAGCAATGAATACAAATATTCATTCTCATATTACTATGTGTCGAATATATACATATGACTCTTATAGCCGATTAAATTCAAATTAAAAAGTTTCAAACTGGTTCAATTTGGTTTCAAACAGACAGAATATTCATACGAATAAGAGTTAAAGTAATACAGTTAATTAAATTGATATTTTTTTACTTCACTTAACAGACAATCTCGTTTATTGACTCTTCCATAATGAATGCAATATGTATTTTTTGTCACAATAGACGTCTTTCTAAGTATTGTTTAGCGTTACTAAAAATATAAAAGTATTGTTCTTCACATTATCGTCAGCCCACTTAAATAACTTCCTTTTCCAAAGACTTTCTGAAGCGCAAAATGTCATTCAGCTCTTACATTGAAAACATCTTTGTGAAAGTATAAACTCGTATAATTTTGAAATGCTAGTTTCTCGTACTCAGAGTTAAAACTGTAAACGGCGAATTGAATTCATACCGTGTTTCAGGCATTTAGAATTCTTTGATTTCTCTGAAGTATAGCACAAAAGGATGGAGAGTAGCTCATGACCTCAAGTCATGACCGGGAGAGAAGGTTCAGGGCATCAACTGATGTCACTGCGGTCCCTCTGCTCGGTTCGGTAGTTTTCCGTGGTTTCTCCGATCAACGCCAGGCCGGAGCAGTACCCTTACAAACGGGCCACGGATCGTGCGCAATCTTCCTTTCCTATTCCTTGTCATATCCTCACCCCTTACACACACTCACACTAACATGCATTACACTACCACATATGCCGGGAGCCCGGTCGGAAGCTTAGAGCTTGTCCCGGCTGGGGCGATGCGCCGCTGGTGGGAGATACCTGGCTAGGGAAAACCCCGCTAGCCTATGGTTGGTCAGCGCCGGATCTCGCTCCTAAAAGGGGTGGGAATAAAAAAACAAAGAAAAATCACGTGTCAAGACCTCATAAAAATTTTCACGTCGCTAAAAAGTAGTGATGTTTTGTGAGTGAGAGACTTGGCTTGAAATGACTGAGGGCCGGTTTCACCGGTGCCAGATAAAGTGTCTGATAGCCTATCCAGAAGTTATCTTACAGATGTGTTGAAAATTTGTGTCTTACGAGTGCCAGATAAATCTATCCGGTGGTTAAAGTGTCCGGTAAATTATCTGGAGGTTCGAGAGGCTGTTAAATATTTATTTGGTAGATAACTCCAATATAAATTTGCAGAGTATTGCGTTTGCGGCTGTGTGTGAACTTAAAGTATTTAAGGAGTGTCGGTGTTATTTCAGTGATGGAAGACATAATAGAAATGATAGACGACGAATTCGACGAGTTCTTTGATTGTTTAAAGCGTCCGCGCAGACGGCGTGTAATTCGAGATCGGACTGAGTATTTTGAAATCCTCGACGATCATGATTTCAGATCCCGTTTTAGATTAACAAAGCCTGCGGTGAGCAAAGTACTGTCTTTGATAAAACAGAAAAAAAACAACTGGTTTGTGAGTACCGAGTTATATTATATTTCTGCACGAATTGGTCCTGCTAAATTCATTTTATGTCAAGATAATAAAATGTATACTTTGTGATTTGTTAGTAATGCAGCAGTTTCGCCAATGAATCGACTTCTTCTCACTATACGTTATTATGCAATGGGATCATTTTTGACTGTTATTGGATATTTCAGTGGGGTGAGCAAATCTACTGCTTCAAAAGTAGTAAGTCGAGTGTCTCACGCCATTGCAGAATTAAGACCTATATTCGTAAAATTTCCAAGAAATATAGGAACCATTCAACAAGATTTCTACGAAATTGCCAGATTTCCTAGAGTTCTGGGAGCAATAGATTGCACACATGTTCCCACACAATCACCTGGTAATATGTAACATACATTTCTTGTTTAAGAGAAGTGACACCTCAAAAATATTATTTGTAGGAGAGTGGTTTTAAGTTGAGTGCATTCGATTTTACAGTGTATACAGTGATACAAAATATGCTATTTTCTATACATCTTCATATTTCTTCCCCTAACAAATTATTTTTGAGATGTAACTTCTTTTTCATGTCAATGATTGCTGCTTTATTGTTAATTTTACTTGGAACCTATTCTAAATTGTTTTAATAATTAGGTAATATAATTTCGCAAATTATTTCTTGTTATTTTGTATTATACTATCACAATAAAATGAAAATATTTGATAACGAACTCAAAATTGTCAATTTCGAGTGTGAATTTCATTCTCTTTAATAAATAGCGCTTTCAAATATCCTTGCTAATATATTTGTAATTTATTCTGTATGTGGACAAAATGCAGAATTTTACAGAGACAGAAAATGAAACTTCTCCATTAATGTCCAAACAATTTCAAATGCAAAATTGATGATAATGGACATTGTTGCCAGGTGACCTGGGTCCTGCCACAACCATACAATTTTCAATAATTCTTTCATAAAGCAAAGATTATTGGACAAAGAGTTCGGGGAAAATTTTATTTTAGGTGATAAAGGCTATGAGAATAATAATTTTCTCCTAACACCTCTCCATAACCCCTCAACTGGTGCGGAAAACTTGTACAATGAATCGCACATCAGAACAAGAAATGTAGTGGAGAGGTCATATGGTGTGTGGAAAAGCAGATTTCCAGTTTTATCCAAAAAAATAACTGTTCACTTGTCAAAGGTACAAGCAATTATTGTTGCATGTGCAGTATTACATAATATTGCTACTGATATGGGTGATAACCACTTCCAGATACAAGAAGAAGAAGATGATAATGATAATGTTACAAATAATAGTCAAAATTCAGCCCGGAATAAGTTGATAACAGAATATTTTTCATGTTTGTAATAAAATTTATTTTTTGAAAGGCAAAAATACATTAAAACCTCAATCACAAAGACTAATTTTTATTACAAGACATTTTTTTTCTTGAACCTTCCGCAACTCTACTTTCACTAGTAGAATTCCAATTGAAAGGTATTCTTTTTCTAATTGATGCATTTTCATTTTATTCTTCGTTCGTTCATTCAATCTCGTTCTCATGTTCACCTTCTAGAGGGAAGGAAATGGTCGCCTCTTCATCCAAAATCATCACACCTGGAGTAATTTCTGAAAAGGTTTAAGTCGTGCTTTTAAAAATACATACTACTACAATAGTATCAGATATACAAATTCGTATTAATTATTGAAACGTACCTGTAGTTCTATACGAATCATAAATGGCCTCGCCACCTTCCACAGACAATAAAATCATTGATTTTATTTTTTCTTCTAATGGAGTTAAAGGCGGTACGTTTACTGTGCCACCGCCAGTTTTATACATTTGTTCCCGAAGAGCAGCAGCGTTTTTGCGTGAATCCCTCTTCAGAGAATCATATTTGCTTTTAAGATTTTTCGCTTCGCGAAAAATACCTCCCATAGAACTAGTGAAAGCCCTTTCAATAGCAGACCAAGCCACTTCCTTATCTTGCCACGTGGTAGCACCATTTATTTTGCATTTAATTATGTTTTTCCTCTCCGCAACGAGGGACACAAGTCTCTCGGTTTCTTCGCGAGTAAAATTAACACCTCTTTCTCTCTTCTTTCCTAGCCCCTTTTCCATTTTGAATTACTCACAAAAACAAAATATAGTGTACTAAAACACACTAACACACAGTCCACGGAAGAGTATACTGTAATAATACAAATTCACCACGAAAGAAGCGAAAACCACCTCACCAGCCTCTCACACACTTGGTCACACGTGTGTGGTCACAACTTGGAGCAGCATAACATTCGAATTCACTCGTACTTCGCGCGGTTGAGTCGAAAATGCGGCGTTGCCGCTAGTGAAATAGTTATCTGGAAGATTATTTATCAGACAGATATCTGTCAGATAGTTTAACAGGAAAGACCTTGGAGAAAAGCAAAATAAATATCAGGAATTCTTATCTGACGGATAAAATAACTGTAGGATTAGTATCCGGAACTTGATCAGGCACCGGTGAAACAGGCCCTGAGAGTCTGGAAGATTTCAAAGCAGGCCAAGGAAAACTGGACAGTAGGGCGACGCAGGCGACCTACCTGCTTGCCCTAAACGCGCTTACCTGCTCAATCAGTCATTTTTCTTACCTGTGTCGGTTTGGTCCTTAATTTACCTGTACAATTAGAATCCCCCACTCATTGGCACGGCTGTATGACCGTGAGTTATAGGCGCCCGGCGCTTCTTACTCTTACGTTTACATGCACTACTCTACCGCACGTCGAGAGACCAGCCTCAGCGCCTGTCCCGGCCGGGGTGGAAGTACCTGGATAGGGAAATCTCCAAGACGACGTGTAGGTCGGTAAGAGATTTCACCATTTAGCACGGGAGGAACTTCACCACCACCCGGGTTTACACATTCACTACATGAACGGCACTAAAGACAACTGCAGTTGACACAGCTGGAAACACGAATCGATCCCTGCGCTCTTGTGTGGCAGGGCGGGAGGAGGAGGAGGAGGAGGTCGTTGCTGCCGCCGGCCGCTGGCCATGGCGCTGGTCACCGCCCCGCTGCCGCCGCTGCTGCTGCTGCTGCTCCTGCTGCTCCACTGGCCGGCGCCGGCGCCCGCTGACGTCAGCCCGGGCGGCGTGCTGTACCCGCGCGAGTCGGAGACACGCGACGTGCGCTCGCTCGACGGCATCTGGAACTTCCGCCTCGCCTCCGAGACCGACCCGCTCGCCGGATTCACGCACAAGTGGTTCGACAGCGACCTCGCGCAGGTACCTCCGGCGGCGACGCCGCTAAGCGCCTTTACGAGTGCAATACTTATTTACGCACCTAGGGTGTTATAAGGGTTCTAATGATCGAGCGGCCACAAAAAGCCCCCGGGCTGTTTTGTCGCACGAGATCATTACAAATAGTTAACGCCCGTGATAATACATTACTTCATTTTTTTGGTAATTTTAATAATTCAGGTTGACTTATTTACTAATGTACTAATTGTTAATTTGACTCCGTTTGTCTTTTCATATTTCCCTTCTATAATTCTCTTTCAAAATTCCCTCCACAAGAGAACATGTACTATTGCATCACTCAACTGTTTTTATATTTCCATCATAACCACGATCCTCTCGATCCAGGTAAGTGATGCATCGTACGTCTAGCTCCGTATCGTCGATAATAGCAAGCAATAACGTAATGGAAAAAATAAATAAATAAATTCCTTGCGGTACCGCGATAGAGGGGACGGCTTAACTGGGGAGTTCACAGAAAAAGCACTTTGTTTCGACTCTTCCGCTATTTTGGAAAATATACTCTGAACGTAAACCCAACATTATACTCTCCGCCCCCAATCCCTATTTGCACCCTCCACTAGCACTTCCCTCCTCGTGGCGATTTCTATCTCATAGTTATACGGTTTCTGAAGAGGGGCGAGTTTACTTGGATGAAGATGCCATAAGAAAAACTAGTAGGAATGCGCGATATAAAAAAATTCCGCCTCTTAATATAATTTCTCAATTTTTACAAAAAAGGGCATGCCATCATTTGAAGATTAACAATTGAATGACGTTATTGCAAAAAATATCCAAACCTTAAGAACTAGTGGTAGTAAAAAAGCACGTAATTTCACACAAAATTACGTAAAAAGTACTCAAATTTTCGAAAACTTATCGTGACCTTATTTCAAAATCTATCGTTAAGGAACACATTTCATTGACGGCAAAAGTCTATCTTCTTAATAGTACTGAATGTTTTGCAATTTTCGAAAAAAAAGTTTTCAATGAAAATGAGACCTGCACTTAAACGACTTTTATACTATTCAATATCAAAATTTTGAAAATGTTCCGGGAGCTTCAGGTAAAGTACTCCACAATATTAAAATATCAATTCAAGTGGCGTCAACATCAGATAGATCGATTAGGTAATGTCAATTTTAGAGAAAATACGGATTTAAAACGGTTTGGCCGCCAGCATTGTTCACAGACGGACGGTGAGACGTTTTGACGTCATTCGATTTTTCGGTATCAAGGACCCACAACACCTGGATTAAAAGATTAAAAGGGTTTTTTAAATACATTTATCAACGGGATTTTTTCGTTGCTTTTTCGTTACCAGGGCCTTGTAATTAGAGTTTTTCTGCCAAAAAAGGACAGGGAGAAAGTAATAATGCGGTTGAAAAATGGTTTGAAATCCATAAAATGGCTAGCAGGAAGGATACATGCCAAAAATTAGAGAAGTATATGATGTATATTTTCACCGATTCAAATTAGATTTTCAAAATTTAATAAATAAAATATATCATTGGACATGTTCTGCAATTTATGAATGTAAGAACAGTACCTAATATGTGGTTTAGCTTTCCTGCCCCCACAGATCAGCCCAACAAAAGCGTCATTTGGATTCATTGTGAAAACCAAAGAATGGATATCAGCTGTGAAGAGAGCGCTATTACTTAATATTTACTTTCTCGCACTTCAAACGTAAGAAGGGAAAGTATTGTAATCGTGTCCTAGGACAGGGCGAAAACAAAACACAAAACCTCTTATTACAGGGCCCCGGTAACGAAACAGTGGATAAATCCAGTTGCTAAATATAGAAATTACTCTAACACGTGGTGTAGCCATAATTTTTTTTTTTCGTCCTTAATACCGAAATTCGACTTGAAATTCTCACACATTTTTTCTCAAAAACCCCTCCAAATTTTTTCCTTTCATTTTCTACAATCATTTCATGAGGGACAGTAAAACATACAGTGCAAGGCCTATTTTACGAGTATTGCTCGTTTTTTTGAAAATTGCAAAAAAAAAAAAAGCATTTGCTGACAAAATTGAATGTAGAAATTGTACATACATACAAAAAGTGTATTGTACTAAATTAGCTCTTTAAAATAGATTACGTATAATTTGTTGAAAAACGAGTAGTATTTGCGTAATTTGTGTCTGAAATGTACGATATTTTATTCTCAAAAATAGCTCCAATTTTTTTCTTTAAATCTTCTCCACTTGTGTAATAAGGAATAGTAACAAACATAGTGTTAGTCCAATTTTCCGGGTATTGCTCTTTTTTTCGATAATTGAAAAAAATCAAAACTACAAAATTGAAGATAGAGATATTTGTTTCATAAAACTCTGTCGTACAAAGTTAGCTCTTTAAATACGCCATGTACATCATCAGTTACATCAGAACTGGTTAAAAATACTCGTAGTAAAAGATAAAATATCTCGAGTCCACTATTTTCATTGAAAGCCAAAATCACGAAATATGGTTGAGTACAAATAGCAAACTTCTATCTACATGAAAAGTGTTTTGAATATAAAGATATATTTCCATTTTCAAAATTTCAGAGATTTTGAAATTTTTGAAAAATATGAAATTTTAACGTAAATGACATGCACCATTCTGCTAAGCGTCCTTTACGCTATCAGAGGACAAAGTACAATAAAAAATATTTTGAGCCATTTTTGAGAAGTTTTGAAAATGTTGGGACATTATGTGAAGTATCCCCCAAAATCAATATATCCGTCTGAAACTCAGGAGGGTCTCGAGTTTATTTAAATCGATCGAAGAATATCAATTTTATAGGAATATAAAATATGACGCAGTTATGCGTGAGACATCCATCCATGCTTACATACAAATCGATTTTCGCATTCAAAATTTCTTTTTTTCCCTCCCCACTCCATCAATATTGACCATCACTGGAACAGCACAAATATATCTTAATCCTGGCGAGGATGCGAAGTTACAGATGAATAACCTTAAACGTGGGTTTTATGACAGAAACTTGAAGATAATATTGTTGAGGTGATTCAAACACCATTACTCCCTTACGTGGGGAGGGCAAGTCACAAGAAATAAAACGTGAAAGGATAAAAGGAGATGACCACTTGTTGTACTTCATAAAACGTAGCTTCACTATGCGCATGTTTTGTTGAGTCCTCCTTTTGCTATTTGTGGTAATAGAACCGAGAGTGTAGGTTGCTTTTTTGTATGCAAAACTATAAAATCAAATTTGTAGTTCGTTTACCGATGCAAATACGTCTTCGGGGGAGCAAATATGTCTTGTCTTCAAATATTTGTTGGTAATTTTATTTCTGGATCAACTATGAATAGTAAAAGCGTGGGGAACAAAGTCTGGAGCTCAAGAAAACGTGCGCAGTTTACACCTCTCTCCCATAATGTTTACTGCATTTTAACGAAAATAAATTAAAAACCAATTTTACTTACAGTGCCCTGCCTCGTCCCACCCACCCAGCTCTACCCTGATCCTCCTCGTCAAGCCTTGCCTCGCCCTACCATGTTTGCTATGAACAACGTTGCTGTGGGCAGCAATAAACAATACATTGTTTGATAAACCAGTACAAACCGGTCATAATTTCGCCTTGGCTCAAAATCTCTTGGTGATATCTGAATTATCCAAAATTTATTTAGAATTACATTTTCTCTAATATTTCCTTGCACTACTTCGAATGAAAGTAACTCTTCAAGAGATGTAAATATGAAAATAATTGCAATATACATTCGTAAAAAAATATTTCCAAGTGCTAACATTCTCCTAGAGAGATTGTGTCCTCTGCTGCTAATACGAGGTTGAAGAGGTCGCTTAATTAGCACTCGTGCCTAATGACTCGAGTGCATCTTCCCGTGAGTGGGGAAAGTCGCAGCTCGCTTGAGTTTTTGTTTGCAACACAAAATGTCAGAGTGTAGGGGAAGGCAGGAGCGTTCGGAGATGAAGCAGGTCTTCGAGGAAAAAGGGGCCTCTTTGCTGAAGTGTCTTCGGGAAAGGTCGCGTGATATTTGTGAGGGAACTCTCGTGTGGTTACTGCAAACGAGCTATTCTCAGGACCTGGGAACGCATTTTTTGACAGTAGTTCTAGACGCACACTAAAACCCACACACTTCTGCAAAGAAAATAAAGTGATTGACACGGTACATTCGTATTTCACATTTATTTTTTATAGAAACCTCTACTCATCTTCCAACTTAAACGTAGTTTTGGAGGAAGGAAATGCGCTGTTTTTACTTCTTACCACAAAAACTCTCACAAATCACTTCACATCACAAAAAAAGATACATTTGTCTCAACAAACAGATTATATTACAAAATACACTTGTAACGTAAATATTAAGATATGCAAGATATTTTAAATCAATACAAAAGAGTAATTTCAGAAAAAATCAAACGTTTCAATAAAAATGGTGTTTGATTCATTTCATTTAATGTATTCTGCTCGAAACCAACAAAACGTTTCAAGAACTAGAGGTACTACAACAGCACATACTTTCTCGCAATATTGTGTTACCGTTATGTAAAATGTTCCAATTTCTGCCTTTCTTACTCTACATATATCATTCTACCTCGAAAATTTACGAAGCGTGCAAAATAGATATCGCTGGCAAGCAAATTCAAATAGCTCGAAAAATATAATAGAAAATAATAATTACTATAGTATTGTAATATTCTCCAAATATTTTCGTTTTAACACGAATTACACGTTACTCCTTGTCTAATCATGTAATGCTAAATGCTCTATACGTTTTCACGCCTACGAAACGTTTGCCAAATTCGCATTACAAAGCTAAGAAAAAACGCTCGTTTCCATCTGTATTCAGAATTCTGTGTGTACTACATGGGTTAGAATAGAATCACAGAATTTGAGAAAATATTTACAGAATACATTTCTACAATAATAAGTCACACAGTTTTTAACAGTATTTGACTTACGCAATATTACACACAAAATACTCATGTTTCCGATAAATTTAACATGACTTTATAATAAGTCTCTATAATAATTGTAGTTGTAGGAAGGCACCAAAACAATTTGGAATTTTTGCCATTTTCGAAAAATTAATGATTCAACGAAAATGAGACCTACACCATTCTCTTAAGCGTTCGTTACACTATCCAATGTCAAAATTTCATCAAAAAGCTTGGTGACTTTTTTGGATATTTTAACATTGTCCCAGGAACTTCATTTAAAAATATCGGTTTCATATTCAAGGGGCCGCGACGTCAGCCAGATTTATTTGGGATATCCATTTTAGAGAAAATCCTTCTTACGGTTCTCCGCTGGCGTTAGTCACAAACAGACCGACAGAGAAAGACGGATAGACGTTTTGCCGTCAAACGATTGTTCGGTATCAAGAATCGACAAAATATTGATTCTGACTATACAATTTTCTATATGTGACATTAAATAGCACACACTTACGCCTTAAAGTCGTAGTAACTAAGGAATTCCTAGGCATTTCAGAAACCCCTGGGTTCCCTAGACTTCCCCACGGGACAATGAAGTTCTTTTCCTGCATTTACTAGACAAACGGTCGGTCACACAGACTAAAAGAAAGATCCGGTAGACAGAGGGGCTGACGAACAGACAACTAAACTGTTCGAAATCATCCACTTTTTCGTATCAGTGGCCGCAAGACGTGTATTTCCCTTAAAATCAGAGGGAGCCCTAGAACTTTTTATTCGGTGCAGGCTACCAACGTAACCATTACATGCTCTGTAAGCAGAAGAGGAGTCCGTGTGTGGATTATGTGAACATATCTTTGTTTTATGAGAAATGAGGTACACAAATATTGTTTATCTCTCTTAGCGTTTCCGTACGAATAGTTTTGCTCAAAAGTTTAAAAAAAGTTTTTGTCTCTAAATGATGTGATAAAATTTTCGATATACAACTTCAATTTTCGAGAGGTACCTCGCTCCTCAAATAATTTTTTCACTTATTAAAATAAAAATTTTTAACCCGTTAATGCCTGTTAAAAATTTGGAGGGAAAATTAGAATATTTACCTTTATTTCAATGAAAAATAAATATGACCTGTTTATTTGTTGCCATATGTCATGAAGGAATGGCATGGAGCAACGCGTGACGAAATGTGGAATGTGCCTGAGAGACTCTTGAGAAATCGGTGGTAAGCACTTTTATATTCGAGAGAAAAAAACAACACAAAAAGCACACCAAGTTTCAACCCTTCTACGAGCGTAATGACCAAATAACGCAATCGATTCCAATTGTTTCAGACTGGCGAGACCATTCCCATGCCGGTGCCGTCCAGCTACAATGACGTCACCCAGGAGAAGAGCGTGAGGGACCACCTGGGGCTGGTTTGGTACGACAGGACGTTCTACGTGCCGGATGCGTGGCGCGAGAAGAAGAGCCGCGTGTGGCTGCGTTTCGGCAGCGTCAACTACGCTGCGCAAGTGGTGAGTAGGTGCCAACGCGCACTGAATTTGCGCTGCAGTTCTTCCCTCAGTCTTCACCTGATGCTCTAGATGCCTTCCTTTGATTATTATTATTGTTATTATTATTATTGTTATTATTATTATTATTATTATTATTATTAAGAAGAAGAAGAAGAACTCAGAGAGGGTGGCATTGAACCGGGAGACTCATTCATATTATGTAACCAGCCGGGATGTTCTGAATGCGAGATTGCAAGGCCAATAAAACAGATATACTCTTTTAAAACATTTAATTAACAGTCAGGATTATTATGAGGATGAATATGGGCATGCACATGAATAATTGCTTACATAGAATTTACATTATTTTTATTTGGACCTAAACATGTAGGTTCTATCACAAAAAATGACTTGCCGCCTCATTGAAACTACACTAATTCATTGACAGTCTCGCGCGGGTTCATAGCGCGGAAAAGGGCGGGCGGTGACTCCAACTAATAACATCAATTATGTCTTTACTGCTTTTTTGAATAGCGACTCTATCCTGGAACTTCTTGGCGGCCGCACTCGACGTCGTAGGTAGTCGTGGCGATGCGAGGGTGACTGCCAGCTGATTCTCGCCGGCCGGCGGGCGGCGCGCGTCTTCTCCCCCAGACCTCTCCGCCTCTCTGCGACCCTGTCCCTCGGATAACTGAACTCCCTCCTTCCGCGCGGATCCCAGTCTCTGATTACCCAGCACCGACTTCGGGGAGCATTGTCGGGGGTGCTATCAAACAACTGCCGAGCTAAAAAAATTTGCAATTTGAGTTTCAGCGGCAATACTCGGACCCCGCGCCCCTGAAGGGTGCGCCCTTTCCATCTTGCGATCAAAGGAGTGCGACATAGAATCCCTCTCCTCCGGGTTGTTTTCAGTTACTCGCGGAGTGCACGGCGGCGTTTGCGTCTCAATTCTTATAAGGGTGCGGTTTTTACTACAGGCAGATGTACGGTGCTGCCCCCCCCCCCATACGTCAGAGGTCGGTGGCTGCATCCTGGTGCCTTTTGAATTATTTTTTTATTAGTGACCGGTGCGACACCAGAAGCATTCGCCAAGGATGCTTCGTCATAAAAAACGACGATGACGTCCTTTGACGGCCTATCCGAGAGCTGGTGTGCCGAATCTCTTCCTTTGCTCCCCGTAAGGGAGGTCGGCCCTGCATCGCATCAAGTTCCTCTTTCGCGGTCATAAATCCGCCCACACCTGGAGAAAATATACAGGTCATCGCGTTCGGCACCCTTGTGCTGCGCCGCGGATCACCGATGTCCCTAAAAGTTCAATTTGCTAGTCTCGGAGCGTCGCGAAATCAATACGTCTTCGTTCTCAGAGCTGGCGTTACAATTGTGATGGTTCTAATTTTTCCATTCAATGAATTATATTAATGAACAGAAAGACAGAAATATACATTTTTTTGTAAGGCCGATGATTCTATGGCATATATCGTCACTTGAAGAATGGCAACTTACTGTTCATTTAAATTTAAAAACATTTCCAATATTAAACATCAGACAGAAAAAGTTATTTAAAAGAAACAATAATTAAAATGAAAAATAAAAGCCTTGTACAAACTTCTGAAAGAAAAAACAACCCCAATCCTAACAGTTCTTTACATACATCCACAGTCCATCCAAGTCTCCGGACATACACCTTCTTGCTCAAATCTACAAAGCATCAAAACATCGTCTGTATTCCCGTGTCTTCGAATATCTCCAACATACCAACACATGTATTCTCTGCCGATACTTCAAACATTTAACTCTTCTCCAAGTTTCAATATACACTCCATCTTATACTACCTAAAGCAATTCACCCAGCTATCAAGACTATGAAATTTTGTCCATACAGTAGGACGACTACTTTCTTTCTGGTTGTTGATTTTTCATATCAGTAAAAGTCGTTCGTCTCCATAGCATCAGACCTTGCCAACCTCTTTTCCAATCTCAAGCAGGCCCTGTACACGTACGTCTTCTTGATGTTTCACATCCTCGACAACTTGTCGTCACAATAAGACCTCTTCATTTTTCATCAGAAGACTAAGTTGGATTAATCAACAGTGAACAAAAAATGTACAATGGGATAGCAAAATGATGCTTTGAAAATCAATGCTTTGTGGATCTACTAATCTTAGGATATTTTGCTGTGGATTCTCAACACTGCCGTACATATAATTCTTTCATAGCCATTCACCATATTAAGCACCAAGCAAAGTGATTATCCAAATATACTTATATTTCTGATGATTATTGGGCATGTTACTTAACACGTCCAAATAGAGTTTTCACTGCTCGCAAATGAAGCCTTTGCACTAGTCGTCGTGTGCCCCAGCACGTAACGCCTCAGGCGAGAATAGCTCCCTGGGAGCAGCCGGGCAGAGAAGACAATGCGCAGCAGCCGAGCTCTGTCAACATTCGCCTCGGCGTTGGCGTTGGCGCAGGCGTAGGCGGTGAGGAAATCCCGAAGCGAGGCGGGGCGTGGCGGACGCCGGCCTCCGGAAGGCGGCAGCCCGCTATGGGAACGCGGGCCGCTCCCACGCGCCCCCGACGGCACCGGCTACGGCACCGGCTACGGCTCCGGCCGGCCCGCGACTGACAATGGACTCTTCCGGTTTAATAGCATTTAAACATTCTGTTCAATGTGAACACGGGTCAGGGCAATGGCACAATGTAAAAAATGTTCTTGTAATTCAATTTGCTTCATGATGAAAGTAAGGGTGGTAATAATTTCCACACAGGAAGACATTTTTAACAGACTTCGAAAGGGAAATATTAAACCTTCCCTATGCGTTAAAGGATACATTCTCTGCCTGCAGTACCAACATAATTTATGATAGTATATTATTGGATCTAAAGCTGTAATAAATAATGTAGTGATGGTTCAACACTCTAATGCTTAAACCTTGACGATTTTTTCAGTATGGATATTCTTCGATTGATCTATATTTTTGAAGGTCACTTTTAGAACACGCGAGTTTAAAACTGACGTTTTAATTGTGAGGGTTCTTTATATTAAACTCATGAATTTTCAATTTATGTTCAAAAATTGCTCAAATTTCTGTCTTAAATTTTACTCAAATGTAGGGCTATCTGATTTTCAATGAACTTTGTAGATCTGCGAAAATTAGAAACGAAAAACTTTATACCTCACTACACCTTGATTTTTTAAATTGCATATTAAGGTGTAATAGCCCTTCACCGACTGAGATCATTAAGACCTATCAGTGATCTTGGAAGGGTAAACGCTCAATACTTGAATAGGGATGATATTTTCTGTGTTGAGTCAAAGAGGTTCGAGTTGTCCTCTCGAGGTTGTCGAGGTTGGTTTTGCTCCATTTAATAACGCCAAAGGAATATGTCAGCACTGGAATAACTAATGAATTGATGGCCTGCACAAGGTTTTCTAGCAGAGAGTTGAGTTTTTAAGAGTTCATGCAATCGTGTACCCACTTCAGTTGTTGGCATGTTCTTAGTAGCAGTGTGTTTGATTTGGAATGAATATTGGAAACCCAAGTATCATGGGGTTCCATGAAGGTAATGTTTAGTTCATGATCATTTTCCAAATATATGAATGATATTGCATCTGACATCGAATGATATTCACTCTCCTGCACTTATTCAAAACGAATTTCATCTTGATGTCGTCAGTGAACTTCTTCTTCACGGTGCCGCATATGTTGCTGCATATGATTCTCAGTATCTGCATAGAGCTTCTTGTCATCTATGTAAAGAAGATGCGAAACACAAGAAAATCCCTCGGCGGATGTGTATAGTATCTCTGTGAACGGATTATTTTCCATTAGAAAAATAGTTTTGTGTTCCATCGACGCATCGCCGTTTCAGGACGTTTTGGATAAACGGGTAGACCTGGTATACATCCAAACATCGAAGGAGCCAAGAAGGGGCACGGTGTCGAATCCTTTAATCTATGTAGCATGCGTACAACATTCTTTGTTTTTCAAGCACTTGCCCCATAATTACAGAATCTATAATAAGTTCCTCCTTACATACCTGAAATTCAGGTTTACATCCTTTCTATTCATACGCTAAAATGTTCTGGTCCTCAATGTGTGTCATCATCATTTCTGTAACACATGATGTTATAAGTTTGTAGAAAGTTTGAAAGCAGGTTATAGGACTGTACTTCGAGAGCTCTTTAGTGTCACCTTCCTTTGATAACAAGGACGTTCTACCTTCATTGAGGAAGTAAGGCAGTCTGGCGCACCTGCTTTGGTTATCTCAGTGGCACAGGAGGGTTATTAAATCTAAAATATGTACGTGTGTGCGTTGTTGCAGTGGGTGAACGGACAACTTGCAGTGGTCCACGAAATCGGCCATCTTCCCTTCCAAGCAGAAATCACGCCTGCCGTCAAGTTCGGGGCCAAGAACAGAGTGACCGTCGTGGTTGACAACACCTTGCTGCAGACGACGGTCCCCCAAGGGCGCATCGACAGCATCGACACGTAAGGGCGAGATCGTCGCGAGGTGTCCTCCGGGTCCTTGAGGACAAATGGACAGTGGAATTCCATTACTGGGGAATCCAATTATCCGAAGTCTGTTTTACAATGCATATAATTAGACGAATGCCTTTTTTAATTGTCTGTGGCAGAAGTCTAACCTACAAGCTCGGAATGATTCAATCATATAATTTGGTAATAATTTTCGATTGGTCTAGGGAAATCGGAATGCAAATGAGAAGAGAAATATTCAAAGATTTTCTTCTGCAAAGAATATTAAAATATTGCCAATCAAAGTCAATTGATTCGCACGTAAGAAGAGTAAGTTTTGTAAGCGAATTTTCGACAAAAATTCTTATTGCCGGGCCCTGGTAACTAAAAAGTGGATAAATCAAGTTGTTAAATACAGAAAAAAATCCTTTAGTACGTGGTGTAGCCAGAATTCATGTTTTGTACCAGAATCTATACCGAAAAATAGACGGCAAAATGTCTTGTCTGTCTGTCCGTGCACAACGCTACCGCGTAAACCATTCAGATGTTCTCCATAATTGATATTCCTCAACCGTTCTGGCTGATGTATTTTGAAGTCGATATTTTAATTTTGTGGGGTACTTTACATGACGCCCCCAGACATTTTCAAAATTTCCAAATAATGGTTCCAAATTCGTGAATTAAATGTTGTTGAATAGTGCAAAGGACGTTTAAGTGAATGGTGCAGATCTCAATTTCGTTAATTTCCCCAATTTTTCAAAAATTGCAAAAAAAATTTAAACAACAAAACTGAAGATAGAAATTCTGGCATCAGAAAAAGTATGTTGTACAAAATTAACGTAAAATAGGTCATGTTCAATTGACTTCACTCGTTGCACCGTCCCCCTCGATGGGGGAGGGCATTCGGTCTAATGCATGCCAATACAGCTTACCACCAAAAGACGGGTGCCTGTGCAATATACATTTCAAGCTTTCTTAACTTCAGATCGTTTCAACATTAGGAGGAAAACATTTTCTGAAATCTCGTGGCGAATATCGGAGTACGGGGCCGTCTCATGACACATATTTAATAATTTTTTATCCTTTGTTCTTTTATAGCGCGGATATGAACATGCTTAGGGTGAGATGGATGCTATTTTTACAAGCAATTACCATTACCCTAAGGGTATGTCAGTTATTACCCATTACCCTTCCTGTTAAACTACCCAAGCCTGAAGGCCTTCTGGACAATTAACGCGTATCTCTAGCAGGTCTAATTATGACTTGGAAGTGGAAAGATGGCATGGCAAGAGTTGTGCTGGTGCACGGATATTTTTACCCAATATGTAGTTAATGAAGCCAGAAATACCGGTACTTATTTCGGAAGAAGGCTGAGCTGAGCTCATGTTCGCTCTGAATAGAACGTGACCAAATAAAAATCCCCAACATAGCTGGGGTTTCAACACGGGTCCCTTATATTTTGTCATTCAATGTTTTATTAAGGTCTTCGCTTGAACAAAGATTTTTTAAACTCCCACAGTTATTCAACCGTTTTCTTTCCTTGTAAAAATCCGTGGTCGTGTAATATATTATAGAGATTTGAATGAAAATCAAACTATTGAAATTTTAACCCTGTAAAAGGTTCTGGTCCCAGCAAGTACTACTCGCACGGAGAGACGAATGCACCAACGGTCAGAAAAACGTTTTAAAAAATTTTTTTGATATCAATATCTCCCAAAACCTGTTTTTTTCTTTGAAATCTCGACTTTTTCGGTATTACATTACCTCCAAGATAAAGTACTCACGTTTTCAGAAAATAGGAAATTGAAGAGATTTGTCAATTGCAATGAGCATAGTATTCATGAAAGTCAGTCAGAATTGAATCTGTATAAAAACGTTCTATACAAAGTATACGAGAAAGTAACCGATTCGAAAATAATAACCTCTCTTTAAAACATAGTGAAAGCCATAAATACAATTTACCATTTATATCAATGGCAGCATAACACTAACCGTTATATTTAAATAGCAAAAATGGGTTTGAAAACTTAAAATTCGTCAATATAATTTTTAAACCATACAATACCACCAGTCAATAAATTTTTTATACAGGACAAAACTAAAATATTTATGAAAATATTTTTAACATTCTGATATAGCTTAATAACGTGCATTTAATCTAAGCATTTCTTTTCCAGAGACAATGGGACAAGGGCTGTACAGTCATACACATTTGATTTTTTCAATTACGCTGGTATTCATCGTCCTGTTCATCTGTATACAACACCAGCTATATTCATTGATGACATCAGTGTGAACACCGACATTGAAGGAGATTTGGGTAATATCTTACTTTATTGAGGAGAATTCAAAAAGAAAAGATTTTCATTGCGTCTTTAAAGAACCAACTTCAGACGAATCAATTTCATAAAAAGGCAGCAAAAATGTTAAAAAAAATAAAGACATTTCCTGGTGATATATTACTTGGATCAAAAATGTGATCTTGAAAATGACAGTTCAGGCCAAGTCAAGTTCATTTATTAATATTTTCAACAGTAATTTCTAATGATAAATGTTTATTGATTATATTAATATCATTGTTGATTAAATTTGTTTATTTTAATTTCAATTTACTTGCGACAAGCAGCTTAATATGTAAGACATGGTTGATGTTTTTAAAAATAAGTGACTCATACACTTAGGCTACATTCGAATCAAATCTAAAATTTGTCCTTACATTTATCCTTCTTCCCACTTTTAAATGTATGAACTTCTTATTTTTGTTCCTATTTGCTGCTTGTTATCTCGAGAACTTTATAGTAATCAGCATGAGCCAATTGGCTGTTTGCTTTGTGTAAAGAATTGTCATCGGCTGTTCCTCCCACTGTTTTTTTACGTTCTTGCCTTACGAATTCTTCTTAAGAAGACAAAGTTATGTAATCGTGCACCAGAAAAGGCTGAAATTTCGCCAGAAAAAACTTATTCTGACTTGTCGTAGAGTGATCGCAAATTCACCAGTCTTTTCATTTGGATTTGGATTTTTTGAGGAAACATGGCACTGGTTTCATTATGTGAATACTTCTTTCTTCCATTCTATTTGACGGCAATCTTGAAAAGATATTCATTTTTCTGCTCTTGAATATAAGGAAAATTGTCGATTGCACATTCGCAATGTCATGTTAGATTCAACGGAAGCATACATATAATTGCCGATGTAAGAGAAGTGACATTCATAATGTAAAGTTAAAAGTCTGATTTCCTTGTAATATATTCTTAAAAGCAGTGAACAAAGCACTTTAAATTTTGGATGACTGGTCGAACTGCTTTGACACGCTCGGCTCATACTAGTGATTTGATGTGGAGTCGTCGTTCACGTGATTGTTTTGCAACGTGTTGTGAAAAAAAAAGTCTATTTTTCAACGTAAAATTAATAAAACTATCTTTAGTGGGTTTTTTATCTATTCAAAATAATTTTTAAATCAAAGAATGTCTCTGGAAGTACAAGGTACAAAAGGCCTTAAAAATGTTGATCAAGTAGTCTACAAAGGTCCATTGATAAGTGGAGGATTTAGGACCAGGAAGATTCATATAGCTAATGCTAAATGCTGGCCTGTTAAATCCGCCACTGGTGACTCAACTTCGCTGATACTTCTGCTAGTTCTTGCCCCACGCTGTGCTATTGGTCATAGTCTAAGAAGAGCGGCGAGAATGACAATTTGCATTTATGCTAACCCTCGCAGGATAATGGAATTTAGGATTCAACATTTATATTTAATTCTAACTCGGTGCTACACAGGTATTTATTTATCGAAATTACCCGTTACACCAGGAAAAGAATAAATTAATTCAATGGTGTAAACTAGAAATATTTTTTTGTCTCCGTTCCGCCACCACTTCTTGCACTGCTCCGCTCCGATCTACCCCACCCACCCCGAACCGTGTAACGCTCCTGAAAAGGAGACAAAGTGGCACAAGTGCTATTATCTACGGGAAGCGTGTAATGTTGCTTCAGAGTATGCGAGAAATTTTAATTTTTTTCGTTAAATAATTTCTTTATTACTTTCCTCGAGTGGCTCATGGACGGTGTGCTGGCTTATTGTGAGGCGGTCCCGGGTTCTATTTCCTGCCGGGACAAAAATGAAACTGTAACTTTCTAATACAAATTGTCTCAGTTTTCTGTAGCTGCGTGACGAAAGAAAAAGCACAGGCATGCCAAGAAATGTAGGTACGGTGATGGGAATATGTCATGCTCACCATGTCTCCCTTACCCCAGGCGTGGATGATAAAATAAAAACAGAGCGCAGGCCTGGGAGATAGCTAGCTGGAAAAGACGGATTAATCCGACTCTAAAATGCCAAATACATACATAAATTCTGTGACGTCGTGTTCGATATTTAATTTTAATCTTAATCAGTCTCCACACTTGGGGCAGCTTTTTGTGACGTCCACGCCTTGTTAGTGGAATGAAATGGAGCGTCATTCAAAACAAACCCAAGAAAATACCTGTTCAAATAAGAATTTAAACAGTTTTCATTTTAATTCTTTACAAGAAAATCGTGAAATGTTACAAGCTCGTTACCTGAATAAATATTGAAATAAATTTACGATTGCATGATCACATAGTTTCAAAGAAGTTAAAAGTCCAAAGCCCGGCCACGCCACGTCATACATAAATTTTTCTTTAAATTATTTCCTGTTCTTTCAGGAGTAGCCAAGTGTTTTTTTTTATATAGCCAATTGTCTTGAAGAGTTTTTAAACCTTTGCGTGGTTTTACGTCGCAAGTCTTCACCGTTTTCTTGAGGGATGGGGTTGTTCCGTCGCGGCGACCGCTAGTGGTTGCTGACCCGTCAGCTGTCTCCCACTGGAGGCGAGTGGCCTCGCCACACTTGGGCAGACCGGGGCGGCCCATTGACAGCTCAGAGGGCACCAGCCATTCACCGCGGGTAGCAGTGTGCAGTGATGTAGTCCACACTACACGTTACGCCAATTGTCATTAATGCACTCTTCCTCACTGTCCTTAAATGAGTGCAACAGGTTTTCAATAATTCAGGGAACTTCGCGAACGAACAGGAGTCATACCTTAACGGTGGTGCGCGATAACGCTCCTAGGTATCGAAATTAACAGTACTGGGTGCCAGATCACAACTAACACACCTAGAATTTCGACGTCATTATGCCCGTTAATACACTCAGACGTTCCATCGCGTCCGAAGCTCCGATCTGCGAAACGATATTTTCACAAGTTCCCAGGTCACTTTACTAAACGATCGCGTACGAGATAAACGCCATCTCTCACTTCACGATTCGCTCAAATCGACGGCCGGACAGTCTTCCCGTCTGCGATCCGCCCAGCTCGGCAGTCGTGTCCCATCTACTTCCCCTTGCTTTATGCGTTTGCCCTCCCTTTCCAAGTGTCTAGTCCCTTGTTCTCCCTGGCCTTTACATTACGCGCTGTGAATGGTCAAAACCAATTGCGTATTTACGTTTGTCGTCCTACTACTGCCGGTGTCTCAAATGTTCCGGGGTGGAAAATTTTCCAGTGCCCTCTCTGGCACCCCTAAAATACTGATGCAAGCCTCGAGCTCCACAATCGAGTACTGAGTACAACGCAAGTGGGCCTATTTATTTATCCAAGTCATAATTCTCGTCCATCGCAGTCGTGGATTTTCCTTTTGCGCAACACCGACCACGTTCTGGCCGGAGCGTCGAGGCGGTGGGGTGAGGAGTAAGAATGACGGCAGAGGGAGCGACGGAACGCGGCAAAGGCCACACGCCTCGAACAGTCCCTTGGGCCGGGGGGGGGGGGCTTGTCTGTCCTCGAACACTCTCCACACCGATCATAGACAAAGCGTTTCCTTATGTTAGTAATGTTAGAATAAAGTTAGCAAGATTTGGTTATAATTTTAATATATATATATATATTAATATATATAATATATATATATATTATATATTATATATATATAATTTAAATATGTCTAAGACCTCTTGGAACCTACAAAATTGAATCATTGCAATGAAAATAAACTGTCGTTAAATGCTACATTTGGTTACTCTGAATGATAAAGTAGGTAATTCAATAGCATTTCTAGATATTTTAAAACTTTAATTTATATAATAAATCTTTATGGATTGATTAAGTTCTTGCGCAAGGTGTCAACTGGTTTTATCCTTGTGATACTATTTTCCTGGCATTCCTTTTGACATAGCAATAACAACTGAAATATGAATATAAATAACACTAGCAGTTAAGTGTAATGGTATTTATGAACCTTGCAGGTGTCGTGTTTTACAACATCAGTTATGGAGGTTATATACAGCCTGCATCAGAACCTACATGCTACGTCGATCTCCTGGACAAAGATGGAAATATTGTTGTGGCAGATAACGGCCAAGGAGATCTTCAAGGTCGCCTGGATGTGCCTAACGCTAAATTGTGGTGGCCGTATCTGATGCATGAGAATCCAGGGTATCTCTACACTTTACAGGTATGTATCAGAGCAGATCATACAATAGTATTATTCAAACACATAGCAAGTCGACTTACAACTAAACAGTAATATCTTTACGTTAAGGTCCGTCTCAAATCTAATGAATGGGGCACTGAAGACGTATACAGACTCCCCATTGGAATTAGAAAATTAGAATGGAATGAAACAAGTTTTCTAATAAATTCAAAGCCCATATATTTACGAGGATTTGGAAGGCATGAAGATTCAGATGTAAGTATTACAGAAAGTAATAGAATTCCCAAATGAAGTACACGTACAAAAAATAAATTAATGTAATTCAACAGATTCGAGGAAAAGGCTTGGATTACCCTCTGATAATCAAAGATTACAATCTCATAAAATGGATTGGAGCAAATTCGTATCGAACATCTCACTATCCTTACGCAGAAGAAATTATGGATCAAGCGGATCAGCAGGGGATCCTGATTATTGATGAATGTCCTAGCGTTGACACAGAGTATGTACATATTATTTTATAAACAAAACGTCTGCTCTAAGCTGTATTCAATAATTGAATTGGGCCGAATTCTGGAAATATATATGCTAATGGACGTTTGGTTTCCCTAATATAATTTCTTTTAACATAATTCATAAATTTGGCATTTTTATGTCAATAATTCATAAGGTTCTAATTTAATTACGGAATTTGAAGGTTGTTACCACGTAATGTTATAATTACAGATCCAAATTCTTTCTCATCTTTTAAAGCACATCACAGAGGTAATATAAGTTTCTTGATATTTAGTCAAATGAACCCACATCGTTTGACTTTAATAATAAGTAAATACGGTTTAAAAATAATAGTGACCAATACTTCTGACAGAAAAATATGGTCACCGCTGTTTACAGTTGCAAAAAAATTATAACTACGTGCATTTGGCAATATACGGGCAGCAATTAACACGATCATTACTTTTCAGGAATTACTCTCCAACCTTGCTGCAAAAGCATGCTGACTCTTTAGGTGAGCTCATTAGAAGAGACAAGAACCGACCCAGTGTGGTAATGTGGTCGGTAGCAAACGAAGCCCGCACTCACTTGACTGGGGCAGATACTTATTTTGGGTAGAACACATTCTAATAATTAGCATTTTTTACAACCATAGTTCAATTTTAATACGTTAAAATTTGTCCTCAAATAATACCTACTATTTTCAGATACATAGTGGAGTATGTTAAGAGTTTAGATACTACACGTCCAGTAACAATGGCGACAGCACGTGGTTTCAGTGAAGACAAAGCGGTAAGATAAACCATGGGTAAGGGAAGAGCTACTCAAACGTAAAAAAAGTATTATCAATTAAAATTGAGTAGCCTTCTAAATATTAACGTGAATAAAAATATCGGCAATTAAGAAACATTTTATGTTAGAAAGAACAAGAAAACGTTGCAACATGGCCTGAGCCGTATTTTTTTTTCTGGAAAGACATTTAGTATGTTTTTATTGACTTCTGACGAAGAAAAATTCATACATTGAAATTAAAATAATAAATAAATAATGAAAAATAACATTTGTTCCTTCTTTAGAAGCAGCTACATTCAATATATTTCTTTCCAAATAAGCATTCCATTGTAGTTGTAACAAAAATCAATATTTCTTATTAAAATTACATCCCAAAATCATAAAGCGAGGAATGATTTTAAGGACATTTTGATAAGTAATGTTTAAAATCTATTGTTTTCTCAGCCGGGAGATTGTGTTGAAAACATATTTTATTTTTGCGAGGACAATCTGATATTATTCACATCCCCTAAGTTCATGTTCTAATAATTCTACAAAATTAAAATATATAAATATATTCTTTCAAAATGTTTCCAGGCTCGATTCATGGACATTATTGGTTTTAACCGATATAATGGCTGGTACAGCAATCCAGGGAAAATTGACACGATAAAGAAGAACGTTCAACTTGAAGCTGAAAGCTGGTTCTTCAAATTTAGAAAACCAATATTTATGACTGAATATGGAGCTGATACTATGCCAGGACTTCATTTCGTAAGCATTTTTTAAAATAAGTTTCATTTCCACATGTGTTTAAATATTTACCTTGACAAGCATTATAAATTAAGTAATGACTAATTATTTTACCCTGAACATTTTTCTTTCCACAGGACCCAGATTACATCTGGTCAGAGGAATACCAAATAGCATTAATGTCTGAACACTTCAAAGCATTTGATGCACTACGTGAACAAGGGTTCTTCATTGGTGAAATGATATGGAACTTCGCTGATTTTAAAACAGCACAAAGTAATTTCTTTTTAAACATTTTTTATTTGCAAGTTTTGCTCGTCCCGTCAAACGTGCGAGGGGGATTTCAATGAAAACCTTAAAAGCGTTAAAGAATTTATTTTGAAAAGTTGTAGAACAATTTTTTTAGTACGTAGCAATAGTGGTCCTTGTGGTCAATGGAGGCTCGTGCCTGTTTCGTAAGTGAAGAAAATAAGCCATTACATAAAGTATTTCAAATTCAACATACAAAAAATTATATTACATGCCTCGACTTGCGATGGGATAAGAGAGAAAAATCGATCAGTTCGGTTTTTCAGTGGCTTCCAGGAATCGAGGCGATTAACACAGGAGAGGAGAAAAGACAGATTTCCTCGTCAGGGCGACTTCAATTGACAGCGATCGTCTTCATGTATCATAACAGCACGTGTAGGTTAAAAATTATATCAAAATAAATTTCCTCAGAGTTATCAACTCGAAACTGTACGCTTTCCGTCAAACATCAAAGCAAATATTTAATTTGGTAATAGCGTTCAGACGAAGAAAATAAGTGTGGATGATGTTCCTCTCAGGGGCGGATTCACCCAAACATTTGGGAGGGGAGAATTGTATATTTGTTTTAAATAATAAACATACTTGTTATCATATTGCATATTATTTATGTGACTTTCACGGGTTCGTGGCACTTAAAGAAGCAAAGGGAGGGAAGTACCGAAGTTCATAAGTACCGAAGAAGTGAAAAGCGCGGTGCTCGACTAGCAACAGGCCCGGCCAAAATATTTCTTTCAACATCGTATCTACGCACTTTCAAAGCATTGAAACACTTGTGTTGAACTTTAAGTAGACTATGTCGAAAAATAATGTGCACAAGTTGTTCCTCATGGTTACAATAAACTAAACAACAAATACAATGTTCTTTTAAGGTTTTCATTTGAATCACCTAGATACATTTATGAAATTGATTGCAGATAACTTTCAATAATGCACACTTGTATCTGTACAGCTTACACACGAGTCGGTGGAAACAAAAAGGGAATATTCACACGGGACCGACAACCCAAATCATCGGCCCATCACTTACGACGCCGCTATTGGGCATTAAGTGAAGAAATAGAAGGCACTACAAGACAAACAGTGGATAATTACATTATTTCTTCACAGACATTGGACAAGACTGAACTGTGAACTTCTGAAGTGTGTTTGTGAGATATGTATTTCTTACTGTGTGATAGTAGTTTTAGGTTTTGCGATTAAATGATTTCCTTTTTATTTATACATTTCATGGAATTTCTTTTATGTAGCAAATCAATATTTTCCTCCCGTAAAAACTTAACTTCAATAATTGTTATTTACAAACCTAAACAATTTATAACAAAACATTGGTCACATTGATTAAATTATTTTAGAACCCAAACATGAAACATGGTGGCCACATTTTCTGGAGCAAGTCTCATGGAATTTTCGAGTTTTTCCAGAGCATTTTTATTATTTTTCACTGAAAATATTTGTAGAGTACTTCACACTATACTATATTTTTCAAAACCTTTTTTAAACAAGCCTATAGTGTATCAGCTGATTTCACTGTGATAAAGGAATTTTTTTTAAATATTCTCCGAAAAAAAAATTGTCACTAGTTTTGCTGGAATAATATTTTAAAGAAATATTTACTTCTATAAGCAATGAGATTCCCCTTTTGTTCCGTATTTTCCATATTTTCCCGAAAATGGCCGCCCTGTGTAATAACTACTTGGAATAAGGAAGTATTATCCAGCAAGATAGGACTTGGGAGGGCCGTCCCTAGCAGTGTTACACGCTTGTAATATCACCGCATTTATTCCTTCCATTGGTACTCAAATAATTAATTCACAGGACATTATACAAAGAGATGGAATTATTATTCTCCAGTTGAATTTTTATTCTTTGAGCAGCAATTCTTTTAAATTTAAGCTTTGATTTATTCACGTAAGGATTAATTCACAGGGTAATGTAAATGAATATGAATTATGTCTCCGACAGCATTCTTTGGACTGCGATTCATTGAAGCTTCCTATAATTTCGTTTCCGCCAGGGAGGTTTGCATTCTTTCCTAGAAATTGATCTGATGGTCGAATTCCCAATCAGTTTTGCTGCGCGCGCTTCTTCTAAGCAGCGTCAGCTTCTCAAAGCGTGCAGTGGTAAAGTGACAAACGCTGTTGGCAGCGCGCCTACAAGCCTAGTTCCGGATAGTGCGCTCTGTCGTGCGACTTAGTGAAGCTGGTTTGGGATTGTATTTCATTACGTAACTTTCAGGGGTCGGCAACCACTTAGGCATGCCACAAACCGACACTACAAAGATCTTTCTTGAAAGAGTATGTTGAACTATCAAAGCGTGACGCCTCCCGTTCGTATTTTTATTGATGCTGTGCAAGTTTATACTAAAAATAAATTTTACACAATACTGTTCCCTCGCCCGTTTTATCATTTGCCTGGCTCGAGCATTGAAAGATACATGAAAAGTGTCATTAAAAAAATTGTATTTCATTACAAAATTGATTAATCATTTGCATAAATCAATAATTCATGTTATGCCGGAAAGCTAGGATATTACTTATCATCTTTTTAGGCTGAAGGCGTCTTAAAACTACCAAAAATACATTCTTCTTGTCTTGCAATACAAGGTCTTATCTAGAGGAATCGAATGAGCCCTCCGAAGATGTGTTTCCTATCTATCTATTTAGGGTACTTTTTTCAGCCTTGGCCGATTTCCGCATACCAATTTTTATGTCTATCCCATAGGTATTTTTCCTCTACTTCTTTTTTTTCATGGCCTCAGTTATTGCCATGTTCAATGTTCTTCTGGGTCTTCCCCTGTATTTCCTTCGATTGTGCATTCATTCCCACACTTTTTGATATCCATTTCCCAACTTTTTGTGGAAGTCTATCCGATTTCAACGTTCACATATGTCCATACCATTTTATTGTTTCATTTCGATCGTTTCATTCAAGGTTGATTGCACTTTCATTTTATTTTTTATTTCATCATTTCTTATTTTGTCTAACAGAGAAAGTTTACATCTTCGCCAGAACATCATTTCTGTTGCTTGAAGTTTGTTCATATTTTTTGTTAGTGTCCAGACTTCTGCCCCATAGTGTTGTACTCTCTACGAACGAGTTATATATACCTTTCTTTGTCTTCATTGAAATAATCGAGTTCCACAGCACTGGATTCAATTGTCTTGTGGCTATTTTTCTTCTATTTTTATTTTTCACATCCTGTTTGTCTCTACCATCTGCTATTAGTGACTCCCAAATACCTTATATTGTGTATTACCTTTATTCCTATACTAGTCTCTAAATCATGGGACATACCCCACCACCATATATTCAATATTTTTGTACATTTATCTCTAACCGCCATTTTCCATCATCTTCATCTTCAGTCATTTTATCACCTGGTCGTCTGCAAATAGTACACCAAACACTGTTTCATCACCCATCTTCACACCCATACTTCTGCACTTTCTATTCCATTCTTTTAGGGCTGTCTCAATATATATATATATATATATATATATATATATATATATATATATATATATATATATAAAGCATGGTTGGAGATATACAGCAGCCTGATGTATTTTCGTGATTAAAAAGCTCCAAACACTTTTTTACTTCATTTTTCTTAAAATCTTCTGGATGGATCCGAGAGAAAATGGTTAAAAATGTGAGGATTATGCATCCAAATGATAACTTTCGCGGATGTAATAGAAGATCGAATTCTCAGCACATTTGCATTACTTCCTAATTATTATCATGTGTCAACCCTCCTTTAACGACATTCAAAGAAGTGATCAAACTTTAAATAGAAAATGATATCGTTAGCAGTTGCTGTGCATACTGTTGAAATTAGCATTTTCTGTTTTCAGTTACAAATCATCCATGTATGGTCACATCTTACATTCACACTTCTTGAACGGTCCTTGGAAGCTATCTTGCGCGTAGGAAGACGTATTGCCAGAAATGCGAGAAAAATTGAAAAATAATAAAAAATTTATGTAAGTAAGCTGTTAAAATGAGTTATTTTGAACACAGAAGTTTAAACGCCCTTAACGGTCGGCAGGGCGATCAAGAAGGTACCAGACGAAACAGGTTGGGATGGAAGGGGCGCGATGGAATGAGAAATTACAAGACAGGATAGCATGGGTGGTAAAAAGACGAGACGGGATGCGAACGGAAGGGATCGGGGCCTGGCAGATAGGGAATGTCGTGGCTTGGCACAGCAGAGAGGGGAAATCACATGGCGGGGCAGGGAGGGGGAAGGGCGTGTTGTAGCTGTCGGGTCACGGAGACCGAATGGCCTTTGGCGCAACACTTCCTCCGATGCGCTCAGCCCCGCCCCAGGTGTGCGCCCCTCGCCGTGGCAATACAGCGCACGCGGAGTCGTTCGCTCTTCCGCGGCCCAGCCCGAGGTTGCAAGTGTACTCTTCGATTCAAACATTACGTCTGTTGCCACTTCCTCAGCTGTGACGCTGGCATCCAATCGGTAGCTTGAACGTCACTATACAGCATAATAACTTTTTCGTTTACACTTCGTCAGCTGTGACGCCGACATCCAAATCCAAAAAGTCATCAAATCTCTATATCACGAGCATTTTAGTTACGATATCTGCCCTAGGAAATCTGAGGATACTCCGACACATATCCAAAGGTGACTCGCTACGTCCATTACACTTTACTGCAGCTCATTCCCTCTCAATGCTAGAGAAACACGAATTAGAGTTCTTTGAAACTGAACGGGAGACCTGGCTTGTTAAAGTACATAAGAATGGAATCATTCAGATAGTAAGCGCTTGCTCTATAAATAGAAAGAAGAAAAAAACGAAAACGCTGAATTGTTGGTATGATAATCGGTTGTCAGGACAATAATCCCGAGCCATTGGAAGGCAGGCCGGGACATCGCTCGCATCGACCGTAGAATATCCTTTTTGGTGAAACTACTGTGTCGCGTTTAGGTGCAAGAGCTATTCATATTTTCACAGACAGACTAACATGTTTTGAGAAAATACTTTTACGGTGCCTGGTCACAAAAAACTTGTCAATAAAACGCGACAATAGCTTTATACTGGATCCCAACTTCGAACGACCATCTCCTGAACAGTACGTTAAAACGTTAAAGACGGGCATGACGGGCCTTTTGACGCCTCAATTAATTTTACTTGACTTTCGGGGTTCTACTTAACTCTGACCACTCATGAGTGCTACGTGGGGGTATCCAGAAGATCTAACTCTGTAAAAACGTAAAAGAATGTTCAAACGATCTTATTTTGTAGAATATTTCATAAAGAAAAAGATCGGGCTCCACTTGCTCCCCCGCAAGTCTTCCTGAATGATCCCTTTCCCGGTTCCTTCGGAGCATTTTGTCCCAAATGCTCCCCGCAAGTTCCTCACATGTTCCCTTGCAAGCCCCCAGCACGTTTCTCGAAGGTTTGCCTACAAATTGTCTACGTTTCCACGTGTCGATCAGAAATTTCAGTTAAAAATGATGCAATAATTTCACAGCCATTCATAAATGCACGGAGTGTAAGAGAAACGACAAAGTGAAAAAATTCGCTTAATAATAATAATAATAATAATAATAATAATAATAATAATAATAATGTATATATTTACACGTTATATTTTTTCATGATTTTTTCATGAATGCTACTTAACACGTGTGATTTCCAAAGAGATGTTCAATACCCGCAAATGAAGCCTTCGCCCTAGTCGTCGTGTGCCCCAGTACGTAACGCCTCAGGCGAGAATAGCTCCTTGGGATCGGCCGAGGCGATGAGACAATGCGCAGCAGCCGAGCTCTGCCAACACTCGCCTGCGTAGGCGTTGGCGGCTGTAGAAACCCCAAAGCGAGATAGGGGCGTGGCGGGACCGGCCCCCGGAAGGCGGCAGCCTGCTATGGGAACGAGGGCCGCTCCCACGCGCCCCCGACGGCGCAGGCACCGGCTACGCCCGGCCGACGACTTACAATGAACACTTCCCATCGCCCAGCGCTACCATTTGTAGCCAGGAGACGTTTGACGAACAACTTTCTCCGCTTCGTTTTTCTCTGACACAAACAAAAAGGAGGGTGCTGTTCCCTCAATGACGTACACATACATACGTACGAACTGGAATTTTGTATCACAGCGTTATTGGTGATACATTAAAATACAAATTGAGCCCCGAATTTTCACCATAGTTTAGATTTATTCAGTCAAAAAACAGTAAAAACTGTATGTGTCGTAGGGGGAAAATATTATCTGCGCACGTTTTCTTGAGTTCCAGAATCCCTTCCTGTCATTTTAACTATA